CGGTAGACGCCTGGCGAACGGCGATGGGTTTCGGAACGGTGCGGGAGAATGTCTGTGGAGTTTGATGGAGCTGGGGATAGCGTGAATTCGGTCAGGTGAGTGGGAATTAACGGAAGTGGGGAAGGGATGTTCACTTTCGGAAATGCGCGCTAGCTCATTATTTATATGTATGGTTGACGTATATGATGGGAGGGGGAAGTAGTGGTTATTTTTTCTTCGTAGGTCATTTCCAGCAGAATCCATTTACTCTTTTCACCCCGCTCGAGTGGATCTCGAGCGTGCACTAGACACTAATGGCGTTTTTCATTAGTTGCACTGAAACCCAACCCGGTGCAGAGTAATGACGTCATCGCTCCTCGACAGTGCTACTCCTCGCGGGTGAAAGGCAGTGATGAATGGAACGGATTCGAGGACTCAGTGTACTCAGCTGACGTGTGCGTTGAGATCATCGACGTGTAGTTTAGGTATTGAACCCTTGTTTGGTTCCTGCAAACTATAAAAAATATGTGATTTTGAAGTGAATGTATGAAATGTTGAATATGTGAAAGATATGTGGGTTTACGCTGACCTACTATGCGATATATCAGAAATATTTCTCGCCACTTATTTACATACCTCGAATAAATGCACAACATGCAATGCACATCGCAACAAAAACTGGGTCGCGTTACTCGAAAATACTTCCGGAAGTATAAAGAGCGCGAACTGTTATGTAGTAAATATAATTAATTTCTTAATTTGTAACGAACGAAACTGATTAATTACAAGCTCAATTAAAACATCACACAATAGTCTCATATTTTAAGACAGTTTTATTGTAATCTACACTCTGTTGTATACTCTGTTCAGTTACACGGCTGCTTATTTTGACACCAATTCATGCCACTGTAATTCCGGGGTATGGTTGGTGACACGTAGAAATTGTTCGCATTCATTTCACAAACATTGGCTAACTTGTGTTGGGGATAAAGTCCTTTTATTTAATATTTTTGTCATTCCATCTCGAGAATGTTTGCATAAACTCAGATTTTATGAAGCTAAAACACAAGAAAGGTACATTTCAAAACTTCCTTTTTAATATGTATTATTTACATGCATAATTGCTTGATTAAAATGTAATGTATTTCGGTTTTAATTAAAAGGATGTGAAAGTAAACACGGCACAAATTGGTGTTTGTGGTCTGTCCATTTACATCCGTATGATTTATTCATACGCATACATATTCTCATCTTCCTTTCGACATAATATGTTTCAATTCTTACAGTATTCTTTTTAGAAACTTGCGTATCTGAACAATGTAAATAGCACGCGAAAAGTCTCCCTGGCCTCTAACTGTACACACTGAGCTGTCACATCGCCACATACCTGGCGCTCGGCTCATCTGGCTAACGAAAGGCATTTTGCAGAGTGATGCCTTCTATCGTGGAGTACAGTTTTTGGCATACCAACGTCTGCAAGTGCACTCAAATAGCCCTCAGTCCACACAGTGTTAAACATGTTTTAGCGCACATACTGAACTAACTTCATTTCAGTTATTTCGGAACATATAAAAGAGTTTGGAATGATCCTTTTGTACAAGGTGTTATACGTACGACGTTGGTTGTTCGTAATATCTAATTGAATTGCGTATTCGATTGACCTTACCGTTAAGTTGATTGTTTTTTTAACTAATTTATTAAAAGAAAAATATAATTTTCTCTAGTGACACAAAAAACATTTGATCAGACAAAATTAGGATAAATTTGGTCTACTTCGTATTATAAACACCGCAAAAATTTTTTTGATGAATGGAATGCTTCCTCATGGGAGGAAATTGTGTTTTATCTAGTTAAATATTTATTTTCTGTCGTAAGTGCGAGAGAAAATAAGGATACAATCTTCTCTATCTTCATTTATGAAGTACAAAAGAAATGTATCAATTTTTCAGAATGCTTTGGCGGAGAATTGTCAGAGATCGGTATATTCTGCCTTAGAAAATCCACTCCGTTTCTAGTGAAGTACAAACATGCAGTTAAAATTTTTAGCACGATGGAATTCTGACCTTTCCTCTTACGGAATGAAGCGTATGAAGAATGGGCGAGAAAAGTCTCATTTATTTCTCTGAAATTAAATTCCTGCGAGTCTGTAGCCGAAAGGCACGGACGCGTAATAAACTGCGAGTGAGACAGATAGCCATTGGGTGCCGTACTCTTTTAGGAACAAATCGAGTAAATATTGAGTTTGGAAGGCCGAGTCAGAAAGACGGTGTTTGGTAGGAAACGAGCACACATACAGCTAAATATTAACATTCATGGAATTTATTAATGTGAATATTTCATACAAGTGTAAGAAGGCGACTGGCACGTGTAAGTGCTCCCGCAGCACTTCAGTTGAATTTCTAATTTCTCCCATTAAAGTTTATATTTCAAGGAAAAATTTAATAATTAAAACTAATTGTGTCGTAAATCTAGACATTTTCTGCATGATCACAGATTTAATGCTAAAACACAAAAAATAGCTTCCTATTTAGTTTTGATGTTACAAATTACTTCTGATCCTGTTTCTGCTACTGTTTTAACTCCAGAGGTTTAAGCGTTAGTAAGAAATGAATGCATATACTTCAAGACTTAAGATGCTGACGCCTCGGAAAAAATCTTACTGTTATGAAACATATGTTTGAACCCACGCTACTTGGAGTCACTGATGATAAAAAAGTAGTTCCTGAAACATGTCTGAGTTATTCAATTTTGATAAAATTATTAAAATAAGCAAGAATGTGTTTAATATCATTTTATTCGTTCAACCCTGAAATCAAATACATGATATCAGCTGCCACCACTGATATTTCTTGATACTTATGAAATATTTCATGTTTATCTCTATGCATTTGTACACCATTAGAAAACTTCAATAAACACAATTTAGGAGAACATTACAGCAATATATTATTTTTGATGCAATTGTTTCCTGAACGGCTTCTATCGTTGTGTGTATTATAAATGTGTCCGGTCCAACTTCAACACACCTGTTGTGTGTTTTATATCACTATTAATAATAAGGTCAATTACGTGTCAAAAAAACATACTCATTAATACAACGAAAACAAGAATTGCGCCAGCAATTTCACGCTTTCGCACACCCCATCCCTACCCAAAGACAAATTATCTGTAAGTCTAAAAGAGAAAAGTGTCTAAAGAAAAATATCGGCGGCAAAAGCGAGATTAATGATCTCGGGTTCAATAATCTGCCCCGACGCGAAGTGGGGTTTACACTGATATCAAAGGCTTCAAAGCGCCGCCGGCCACGGAGTCGACGGGGGCGCTGGCGCCAGGGGAGCAGCCCCACCGGCCTTTCCAAGGGTTCCCGCCGCACCCGCAAGAGTGCTCTTGCCTCTGAAGAAGCGCCGTCGGCGGCCGTCTTTGGGAGGCTCCAGATTGCTTCTTGACGTACGCCACACGTCTCGAGAGGACGGGAGGACGGCCAAGTCCTTTCTTTTTTATAACTTCTCTTCTCAGCTACCAGAAAAAAGGTTTCCGAAACTGGAGGAAGACACGCGCCATCTGGTTTGCTATGCATAATATGCTGTTCGTTTCATACGTAACGATCGTTAGAGAAACGTTGCTCTTTATACATGTGGCTTTTTCTGTTGATGTTTAGGCACCTTGCAAAATATTATCAGAAAAAGATAAAAGATAAAATAAAATTATACTTTATCACCGACACCTTAGATTATTGTTTCGTGTTTTAAATATAATTATTGCCAAAAGATTAAAACAATAAGTTAAAGAATTTTTTTAAAAAATAAAATACTTTTAAAATCGAATTAGAAAAAGAGACATTAGAGCGTCAATGAACTTATTAAGCCTATTATATCCCGGTCCGTCTGCATACGAGAAAGTAAGTGTTTGTTGATCGTACGTCGATACCTATAAATCGTAATATGCTGAACACTAAAGGTATATAAAGAACAATATGCCGGCAATATAATAATATTGGAAAAAAATAAAATTCTTATCATCTGAAATAGATATATGAGCAAAGAGCAACAGTAGCAATAAATTAAAATATGTATTTTTTTCATTTGAAAATTAATATCCTAACGATGTAATAGAATAGAATAACTAATCTAATAGGTTCCTAAATATAATATAGGATAATAAACTAACCAAAGGTGCAACAGTATTATTGAAAATAATGTGTCAGTACAATTAATTGATTATTTTCATAGGCAAGGAATTACTTTCCCAAATTATATAAAATTCACAGAAACGGAAAAACCGTAGAAAAATTACGACAGAAAACATATTAATTAAATGGAAAATCGAAAACCCCCAAAATATTCGCCGTACAGACCTTATTCCCCCAAACTGATGAAATGAGAGTTTACAAAATCTGGAATAATACTATTTATTGTGAACACAAAAATAAACATGTTTGTAAAAATAGGGGTAAGATAGTGCGCTAATGTACAGTTACTCTTAACTTCGAGCCACTATTGTTTTTAATTCATACATAAAAGCTACTACTCTTTGCAAAGTGGTAATTCCACTGATTTGGTTAAGTTTTAAAAATAATTAATTTTTATATTCTTTTTAAAACAAAAAAACATAATCAAAACAAGTAATTGAAGAATATTTTGTTTAAATTTTAGGCGCGATTGAAAAAAGTGTGAGTAAAAGTTATTCATGATTCAAGTCGCGTCCAAATTTGCAGAAAATAGTTTGTAGCCTAAGGTTAAAGAGGGCCGAGAGATATCAGGGAATGTTCGATCATGGCCTCCTAATTAAAATTATTTCTATAACATTGCTTATTGTTGACAAGTCATTTGCATTTAAAGAAACAGTACTTTTGCTAAGAATTTTCACAATACATTTCCTACAGAGAAGAGAAAATGGGTCGTGTGTTTCTTCGCTATCTTGGTGGTAACACAGTCTATAGCTGCGCCTCCTGCGAAGCTACTCTTACGAACAAGGACAGTCTGATAAGCACGCGATTCACTGGAGCCACCGGGCGCGCGTACATGTTCAAGGAAGTGGTAAACGTCACACTGGGCGAAGTGGAACAGCGGATCATGATGACAGGGAAGCATTTTGTGCGCGATGTGTACTGCATAGACTGTGCAACGAAGTTGGGATGGTTCTACGAATTCACCCCGAACGCAGATCAACAATACAAAGAAGGCAAGTATATACTGGAGAAGTCCTTCATCGTGGAACTTAGGGGACTGAATGCAAGTTCTTGAACATCGTGTGTATGTGTGTGCTCGGTGAGAACACTTTTTACAAAATAAGGTGAATCTGTATTTATAAGTCTTGATTCGAGAGGTCAGAAGTATACAATGATATGTAATCATATGATCGTAAGTGGCACTTATTGAATTGTATGTTGAATATGTAACATAACTGTAAATATATTTGTTAGCATTTTAATGATTGTGTTTGTTTCGATAAAAATTGGGTGGAAATGACCCACCCGTCAACCTTCTTTATATTATTGTGGTCATATTCTTCAGCTTTATGGCAAACCTACACACTCTTACTCTTTTCAAAAATATTGATGTTAATAGGCCTAGCTGGCTTCTGAATATGCTCAGATTCTGTTCTTTATAATTGAACTATATATTATTTTCATTATGGTTGAACATTTTAGTGTATCCGGATCGCAGAGTCGTACATGGCTATAAACTAACGAAGTTTTTGCTTTTAGGCAAGTTCTGGTATCTAGAGGACTCCATGAACAAGGAAAATAAGCCCCTCAATCCAGTTTCATTTTGCAAATAAGAGTGCAGGTTGATCCGGAGTGCAATATGTGTCTTGCTGGATGTTGTTGTACAATTCTTGCTTTACTCTTTGAGATATGTGAACAACATTTTATAAACAATGAAATATTAGTGATTCTATTATGACTGGTGGATATTTCGATGCAAATCAATATTTTTTAATATTTTGTATTTTTTCAACTTTAATACGTACATCAGCCAAAAAGAAGTGTAAACATAAGTCAATAAGGGCATTATCCAACATTTGATGTAAGTGCCTAGATAATGTGTTACGCATCTACCTAGAGGATGTTGGTCCAGTAGCATTGTTACTCAAAGTTCCGTGGTATTTCAAAAATAGCATTAAATATAATTGTGAAATTCAATATCTACATTTTGCTGGGTTCCGGCAGGGAAAAAGTCATGAGATTTTTGATTTCGTTTTTGGATTGCATATTAATAGTTGAAATCTGCTCCTTAATTTGATATATAATTGATAGACATTGGTGCCTTCTGAACTGTTTAGAATTACTTTTGAAATCAGGGGACTTGTCCATCTTTCGAGATCTCCAGCAATTGATGCCTATAGCAATGTACAATTTGCTTCCTTTAGATAGAATTACGCGGTAGAATTCCAGACACATAATTTAGTCAAGGATACGAAAAAATATTTTTTGTATCCAATAACACACTTCATTTTGGTGTTTATAAAGCTGTGTTAGTATTCAGTGATGGCAACTTGTGGAGCAGTGAAGTCCGCAAAAGGTAAAAAGTGAATGTAGAGAGGGACACTGTTCAAGCTTTGGACAAACTTGATAAGGAGAGATTAACAGCCTAAAATCCTGAAAGAAATAGAAGAAACAGCAAGGGAAAGAAAAAACATAAGGAGAAAAATAATTGAAAATTATCAAAAAGACCTTGATGGACCGAATTATGGTGCTGGAATGCTCTAGAAACTTTGATTGCTGTTTTCCGTTAGTTTACTTTCTCAGTGACTTTTTTTTCCTCTTTTTCTCCAAACATACTGAACAGAATTGAATAAATTTTTACTTATCATCAAATGCACTCTTCTCCACATTTTAATGCAGATATTTTGCAATAACTTATGCAGGTGAAGATTTATAAATAGAAAAGGGCCAATAATTCAAGCAATTTTAATTTTTTTAAACTACAAAATACTTTTGAAAACCCCCAATTTAAAATGTGAATGTAGACCTCAAGTTTCACCTCCATTCTTTTAATACAGTTTCTATGAATAGTTTCTGAGAAAATAAAAGTTAAATCTGTCAAATTAACATGGAAGGGATGGGCCTTCCAGGATCCCTTAAATTAAAATATATTTAGTACACAATGACTACATTTCAGAAAGAAACTGATCGCCTAACACATCCATGAATTACATGTTTTCCAAATACGGCCAGCCATTTTATTGGCGGTTACTTCACAATCAAATAAGCGCGTCATAGTTTGTGTTTACACCATGCTAGAAATGTTCCACTTCATTTCGAATAATTCCATTATTCAATTGTATCTGCTTTAGCCCGTGCCATCGTATCGCTTCGGCGCGTTGCTTCGTCGTCAAGGCTGTTAGTTCAGCGCCCCGAGTTCTGCTCCTAATCGCGTCAGCAGATACGTTTAATGCTTCGCCCGCGTTTATAAACACGCGGTTCTATTGCGGGAGGCGCTAGAACGCGCGGCGGCCGCTAGAGAGCAGCAGCAGTGGTGGGTCGGGAGCGAGGGTGAGGGT